GCCCCCCCGCCATTGCAGGGTGGCAGGCATGGACAGAGGCACCCCTGTGGACTTTGGGTGCCTTCACCAGTGAAGCCAGAGTGCAGGAGGCAAGTCCACCTGTGGGTCCACCTGTCAGCTTGAGATGCAGGGGGCCCTGGCAAGGTCCTCTGAGTGCCACCAGCCCCGTTACCAGCCCCAGGCAGCGTCTTGCCCCTGTCCACCTCCCCTGCCCTTCCCTGAGGGCCATGAGCAGACAAGTGTAGCACTAGACCAGAGACGGTGTCCCTGGGGACAGGTGACCTCCTGTCTGGCTCGCTTGCAGTTGCTGGCTTTACTTTCAGAAGCGCCTCTCGGGAAGGCCTTCCACGCAGGCGTCTGGCAGAGGCCGTGTGTGGAGGGCGGCATGGCACGGTCTTCTGTGATAGGCAGAGGCCATTGCATGCCAGCCCCTTGAGAGTGGGTGGGGGCTCGCCAGGTGAGCACAGGAGGACCTTCCATCTCGGCCGACCTTCCCTCATGGCCACTGGCAGGAAAGGCGCCAGGGCCTCTGAGAAACCCCCACGGAGATGTCTGGATGGGCCCGGGCTGAGGGCTGCTGGGTACTGCTGACCTGGCCATCCGGGCACCGGGAGGAGGGCGCCATGGAGGGCAGTAAGCACAGCCCAGGGCCACTGAGGAACTGGGAGCCACTGAGGAGCTGGGAGCCTTGGCTCGCTGGCACTGGCAGCTGCATGGGGACACGAAGCAGTAGGACTGAGCCCTGCGCTGAAATAAGCCCTGGGGTGCTTTGGTTTATTGGACGAAGAGGGGCTGTGGAGAGGAGAGAAAAGTCCAGTCATACTGGCTTGGACTGGTCTTTCTCCCAGCTGCACAGTGGCACTCTCATGGTGAGGCTCGGCGGTGACTCCCTAACGCCTCTGCTGGTCTCCTTGTCTTCCCGCAGCCTAAGAACCTGCCCTTGGGGAACTCTTTGGGCCCTGAAGCTCTGAGGCCAGGCCTTGAACCAAACTTCCCGGAAGACCTGGTGGGCAGTGCTGAAAGAGCAGGAGCAGGCGGTAAGGACTGGGCCAGGCCCTGGGGAGGCCTTGGCCTGACCTGGGGGCCCAGCTCCGGGGCATGGCCCCTGGGTCCTGCCCACCTTAGGGGCCCCCGCTGTCTGGGTGGGATTAGAAAGATGTGGCTTCTTGGAATCTGACCCTCTCCTGGCCAGAAGCAGCCGACCTGGTAGGAGCTCCGGGCAGAGGAGTGGAAAGGAGGGGCGGGACGCCCAGACCCCGGCCCAGGACGATCGTGCTGCTGTGCTGCTGATTCCCTGTGCCACCTGGGGACAGTCTTACATGGCCATCCCCATCTGTCTGTCAGGGAGAGGGCTGTCACAGAGCCACAGCTGGGACATGGCACCTGTGCCCTCACCCACCACCTAGGCAGGAAGTCCTCTGGGCTCTGACTGGTCACCCTGCACTCCGGCTCAGAGCAGCCACTGCATCTTCCCGTACCCCTGGGGTGAGGGCTTGGCCGAGGACCAGGGAACGTGAAGGAGCCAAGACACACAGTCAGGGCTGTCCGGGCTCTGGACAAAGTGCGGGAGTCCCAGCCCTGCCATTTATGGCTGAATGTGGTGGTGACTGATGGCTGTCATTATCCCCCTGCATGCGACTGCTGATGCCACTCAAGGTTACACTATGGCCAGTCCCCCCAGCCCAGGCCTCACCCCTGTCTCCCCTGTCTTATAGTGCTGGGTTTTCCTTGCTCTCCACAGTGTCCCTGGCACTCACATAGTGGGTCTTCAATGTTTGTTGACTGACTAACTGGCCGACTCTGGGAGCAAAGTGGGGAGGTGGGGACTGGAAACATGACTGGGACACAAACCTCTTCATGACTTCCCTCCTGGTGAGGATTGCTGGCCCAGGGGGCTGTGAGATGGGGGCTGAAGCTCACCAGGCTGGGGCCCCTGGTTACAGGGCACATCTCTGGGCTGGAGGAGGGGAACGCGGCTGTGCCACACAGACTGTGCCCAGGCCCAGACACTAGGACCGGATAACCACGGTCTGTGGGCACTCAGATGTCCCAGGAGTCACTGGCGAGGTCCCTGCTACACGCGTCTTCACCCCCCGCCCTCTCTAGTGACCTCTACATTCTGCGTTCCTGTCTCTGCACACTGGTGCCCCCTCCTCTGCCGGGGGCAGAGTGGGGTACACATTCCTGCCGCAGGCCTCTGCCCTTCCTCCTCCCGCCACTGGGATGGCCACCCCGAGATCTTCAAGGCCCTGCTTCTCCCTCCTTAGAGAGACTTCCCAGCTCCCCCCCACGACGGCTCGCCCACTCCCGTACTTTAGCCTCCCACTTTAATTCTGTCCTTAACGCTTGCTACATTGAGACAGCGCTTCGGCTTCATAACGCCTGCAGTGAGCTGTCTCGTGTGTAGACACATGCACGCATGCATACCTGTGTGTCTACGTGCATACAGACGGATGTATTTTATGTAACTTGCTAATCACTTTGCATTCGAGTCTTTGTTCCTCACTTCCTGTAAGCTCCATGAAAGCAGGGACTTTGTCTCAGCTGTCACTGTTTCTTCAGGGCCTAGAACAATGCCTGGCACATAGGAGGTGCCCAGGAAACTATTGTTGAAAGGAAGATAGGAAGGGAAGAGAGAAAGGAGGGAGGGTAAGGGGGAGGGAAAGAAACATAAGAAAAAGGGGGATGATGGAGGACGCTGTCGTTTGAATGCCTGTCCCCTGCTACACTCCCGTGCAATTTAGCCCCACTGTAAGAGTATAAGAGGGGGGCCTTTGGGAGGTAATTAGGATGAGACGAGGTCAGGAGGGTGGAATCCCCACAATGGCATTAGTGGCTTTGTAAGAAGAGGAAGAGAGACTCGAACCAGCATGATCATTGCACGGTGCTCTCTGCTGTGTTAAGAGAAGGCAGAGGGACCAGCAGTTAGCATAATGGCTATTTCGCTGGACTCCCAGGTAGTTGACCACAGTTCGTGTCCCGGACCCGGTGGCTTAAACTCATGCCGGGCGCGTGTACGTGCATGCCCAAGATCCCGAGAGGAGAATGGAGGAGAAGGAATTGCGGCGTGGCCATCCCCCTTGGGGGGTGATTTCTTGCTTTTTGTCTCTCTGTCTCTCTCTCTGTCTGGCGAGCGCACGTGCCCTATAGCAAAAACCTCTAAAAAAAAAAAAAAAGAGGCAGCAGGAAGGCCCTTACCAGACACAACCCCTCTGTCTCCATCTTCCCAGGCTTACAAACCCTGTGCTAAACAAACGAAATTTTGGTTATAAATTACCCAGTCTGTGGTATTCAGTTGCAGCGACAGAAACTGGCCTGAGATGGAGAGAAACAGGACTTCCTCCTTAGAGAGACTTCCTCAGCCTTCCCTGAGGGCTGCACGGAAGCGACCAGGAGGCTGGGGGAGCCCACTCCTTTGGCTGCCTCCCATCTGGGGTGCCCAGTGCTGTCATGCCACCTCCCGCATGAGGCAGGTCCACACAAACCTGCATCCCAGGTCCTGATCACTCAGGGCCCAGAGGGGACAGGGGCTTGTCCTGCCACGTCACTCTCTATCCACCCTGCAGCTCCTTTGGCTCTTCAGAGTCACTGTGCCACTCTTGTCTGTCTTGAGTCTTCTCTCGGACTAGACCAGCCTTGGGGGTCAACCAGGGGTGGGTGAAACCTTCAGCCTTGGACACCCCTTGGCCCAATCCCCTGGCATTCAGGAGGACCCAGTGACCCGGTGTCTCCATCGGTGGCTTTGGTAGCTGTGTGGCCAGTGCCCTACCTTGTCACCGCCTCTGCCACTTGGCTGCTGCTCTGTGGGATGCTCTGGCTGGTCCTGGTGGGGCTGCTGTTTTCCTGGTCACCTCCGCTAGCCCTGGAGCGAGAAGAGAGGTTTTTCTCTCTGAGTAATTAGTGGTTCTACTTTGGGCTCACCAATGTAGCCACGTACTTCCAAGTTCCTCAGGGAGCGGCCGGAGGGTGATGAAGCTATGTCCTCCCTCAGGGGACTGGTCAGGGAATGTGTCTCTCAGTTACTAGGCACCTCAAGGCAAGGCCTGCCTCCAAGAGCTGGCGTGGGCTTCGGGGCAGCCATGTCCCCAGTGCTGTTCCTCTGGGCTTAGGGGATCCCCTGGGTGAGCCACCCAGGGGCCCTGGGGGTGGGGTTGGGCCTCCACCCACCTCCATCATGTGGTCCTCAGTCCCTCCTGCTGGCTCCCTGTCCCTGTGCCCGTGTCAGGTTAACACCCGCTCACCTTGCAGCTCTAGAATTCTATGCCACTTGGCCCAGAAGTCTTCCCTAACCCTCACATCTGGGCCGAGGGTTCATCTACGTGTTGTGACAACATTTTCTCTTTCTAGAAGAGTCTTCTCTGTAGGGTGGTCAGAGGTGGGACCAGCAGATGGCATGATGATGGGATGCTTTAAAAAGTTCTGTCCTGGGACCAGCAGTTAGCGTAATGGCTATGTCATTGGACTCCCATGTAGTTGACCACGGTTTGAATCCCGGCCCTGATGGCTTAAACTCACACCGGGCGCGTGTGCGTGCGTGCCCAAGATCCTGAGAGGAGAATGGAGGAGAAGAGATTGCGGCATGTCCATCCCCCCTGGGGGGTGATTTCTCGCTTTCTGTCTCTCTGTCTGTCTGACGAGCACACGTGCCCTATAGCAAAAACCTCTAAAAACAAAACAAAACAAAACAAAAAAAAGCCCTGTCCTATTTGACTCCAGCTGACTCCGAAGGCCTGAGAGGAAAGGGCTGTGCCTGTCTTGCTCTTTATACTCCGACGTCTCCGCGCCTGGCACGGGGAAGGGACACGATCGCGGACATGTGTGGGGCGCGTGTTTGGATCTTACAGAGCTGTGGCACTGCGGGCTCCACCTCCACCGCCTCTGGTACCCTCTGCCCAAAGCCTGAGCTGAGTGACCACATGACTCCGAGACTCTCAGCGTGCCGGGGGTAGGGCAGGGGAGCCATTGTCGGGAGGGGCCGGAACCACCTCGAGAGCCCTCCTTTCCACGCCCTGCCGTCCTTTCCACGCAGGGGTGGAGGGTTGGGGGCTGAGTGGGGGAAGCTTACCAGAGAAAATACCCGACACCCAGGTACAGTGGAGGAATACGTTTTCGGTACATTGCATGTAACTCTGGACATACTCATGCCAGAAAAGAAGCACTTGAATTTGAGTTCAACTGGGAATCCTGGGTCTTTTCTCTTCTTCCTAAACATAGTAACCTTGGCAGGGGGAAAGGGACCAGCCAGGTGCTTGGTGGACCCAAGGCCGGGTCTCAGGACGCTTGGCCTCAGATCCATCCTACTCACTTAGATGGGGGAGGGTCCGGGGGAGCAGGCATGGCTTCTGAGAGCTTTCACAGCCCTCAAGTCCAGGAGCTCCTCTAGCTCAAACCCCAGCCCAACTACCTCTGGGTGGTAAGGGAAGGCCTTCAGGAGGTGGGGGTTGCGTTGTGTGAAGAAGGAGCTCAGGTGGTGACCCAGGAGAGAACTTTTCCAGGAGGCAGGGAGGGAGCCTGGAGCCGAGGAGCAGAGGGCGTGTGCAGCTCTGGGAGTGTGGGAAGCCAGAGGTTTCCACGGGAAACTGTTAGACGTTCCAACTCAGGAGCTCTGGACCACGACGATGTCTCAGGTCACCTACGAAGGGGCGGAGTGGGCCCTCTCCTTTCCCCACTCCCCCGGCTGTGGCTGTGCTGTGCCCAGTCAGGGGAGGCAAGGAGGCCCAGTGTCTGCCTTCCTGGGCTGGGGATGCTGGCGGCTGGAAAGGCCTCTGGCTGCTTGGTGGGAACACCTGTGTGTGACTTCTGACAGCAGGGAGTCACCTGAAGCGCACAGGGGTCTGAGTCCAGCGGGAGAGGGAGAGGCCATTCCAGGTACGCGCCTGCTAAGCCTCTCCCTCTATGCAGTAGGGCGGAGGAAGGAAAGTTAAAGAAAGTTGTTTTTTTAGAAAATTAGAAAAATAAGGGCCTTTTCTAGAATGAGTTGGTATCAGTATCCATGTCCACTAGGGGGTTATGGCTAACTGACACCAGAGGCTGGCCAAAACAGCTTGGAACTTGGAAAACACTTTGGTCAGATCGCACACCCACCTAGCGGCCTCCTGTTGGAGGGAGGGCCACACTCCCAGAGCACGGAGCCCGCATTCGCTCGTTCCCTCAGAGTCCACAGGTCCATGGCATCCTAGAAGCATGGCGTTTCTGTTGTTCTCTAACACCTGTCCTTTAAAATGGGCTGGGAGCCATGAGCCCTTGGAGCGAGGCACCCTCCTGGCTCCTGGCATCCTCAGCCCCTCCCCACTTTAAGCAGGCTCTGGCCAGGGCTCTCCCTCCTCAGGGAAAAGTGCTATCTGGTGCCGGCGGGATCTGAAGGGCCCCAGCACTCCTCAGCGGGTGTCTCTCCTGCTTTGGACGGTGCCCAAGCTCCTCAATGGAACCAGAGAGCTGAGCACCTAAGTGGAGCCATCCGGCCCAGCCTGACAGAGGGCTCCTCCAGGCCCAAAGAGACACGCTGAGGACCGCTCCACTTCCCAGCGCCTGCCCGGGGTCTGCCCCTTAGCAAGGAACCGCGTCCTACTCAGTGTCCTTTTCCTCCAGCTGGAAGGATCCCGAGCAAAATTCCTGTTCTGGAGGGTCTAAGCTTGGCCCGGAGAGGAGGTGGGTGGGTCGAGCTCTGCCTGCCCCATGGGAAGGTGTGCATGGTGCAGTCCTGTGAGTCCTGCCAGAATATTCTCTAGATAAGGGGGTCCGGAGTCCGAGGGAAGCCCACAGGGCGAGCAGATCCAGGCGAGCCAGTCTCCTCCATTCCTTGGCCTTCCAGAACCGTGGGGTCTAGAGGACATGTGGGGGAGGGGCGTCCTTGGCAGAGGCTGGTTTCTGCCTGCAGGGAGGAAACCCCATTTCTCTCCTACTGCGAGGCTCCTGGGGAGTCTGGCCAGCATCGGACATTAAAGAACCTTTTGTTCTGCGCTTGTAGGAAGTCTGCGCTGGCCCCTTATCTGCCGGCAGCATTTCCGGGACAGGGGGGCGCACCAGGCTGCTGGAGGCGCTGGCTCCCGGCCCTGGCCTGGGTACCCTCCTCTCTCAGCTCGGGGCGGCGGCTGCGGAAGGCGCGGTCTGGGCCTTGGGGAGGCTGCCGAGATCTGTCCTTAGCTGGTCTGCCCGGGGCGGGGCGGGCGGAAACGTCACGCAGGGCCCCCTCCTGGCTTGGAAAAACGGGGCGAGTGTGTGCGCAAGTGTGCGTGTGCGTGCGCGTGTGCCGGGGATAGAACGGGGAAACGCTGGTCCCAGCCTTCCCGGTAAAGTGACACTCTCCCCACCGGCGGGGGAGGGTGGCCCCGGCTGCATGGCCCA